GGGTGTCTCAGTTCACCCTTCTGTCTTTGTTTTGTAATACTGTATAGACTTGTATTGTACTGTTATGGTAGGGATTTGGTCCCTAACCTGAATGATTGTATATGTATGTATATACTGTTCTGTTTCTGAATGTGAAAATGTATAAAAAGTCTTTTTGCAAACAGATTGTCACAGCTCATTGGACATCTTTTATTACTGTTTTGGCTTCTGCCAGCCCCTGTACTCTGTATTACTGTTATTACTGTTAAGCAGGCCTTTGGTAATTACGGATTACTGGCCGGTTACGGTGCTAAACCCATAGGGGCGGGTTTGGGTCGTGACAACTACTTTAATATAAGATCAAGATTTAACAACAATTTTCAAAAGGCACAACATAGATAGCTAAAGTTTTATATTGAATCCATTTAAAGCCAAAAAGATGGATTCATAAAAGTGACATAACTGGAACTTAAGAAGAAACTACATGACAAAAGGAGATTAAGATCATGACAAAAGGAGATAAAGATCCTATGAGCTAGTGAAGTTCAACTGTACAAGCCAAACATAGTTCATACTACATAGTAAAAGGCTGATTGTTTTTTTGTTATTGCAGTTAGTCTAAGTTTTTTTGTCATAGTTAACATGGTGATTTCTCACTCTGCATCTTCTGAAGTGACAAGCGGATTATCTGATTCTGCTGGATCTAGTGATGCACTTGATTGAGCTGGAAATAGTTCTTTACGTGCTTTCTTTGAAGCTGGTGGAGAGATTGTTTCTGAACCTGAGTCTTTGGGGTTTGGTGAAGCAATGATGCATTCTTTATGCACTGTATTGATGTTAAATTTGCACTGTGATAGGCCACCAAAATCATATTGATATGCAGACAACTCTAAAATGTGATTTTTTGTTGTAGAGAGCTTTTTCAGAACTTCCAGAGAAGTTTGTCCATCCTATTGAATTAAAAAAAATGTTATTGTAACGATTAGTGAATATTATGAAGTTGTAGAAAATGAAGAGTGTTGTAGAACTTACATCTGATGTGTTCTTCATCAATTCCTCAACAGTGATTGAAAAAAGTTTTTCGGCATGAGAACCAAAAATGGTTGCTGTGATTTTGCCACTTTCATCAATTAAATCTACTTCAAATCTGCATCTGTTGTTATCGTGGAAGAAAAATTATAGCACGAATAAGTGTGTGATTCTACGTTGATGTATGATTTGGGATGTAAATTCCTCAGGCATAGTAGGTTGCTAAGGGAAATGGTCATCTTTATGGTGTTTTCTAAATTACCTCATTTTTCTTTTCAGATAGAAGGTATTGGAAATGTACTTCATAAATTCATTGACTTAAGCTAATGCACTTCTCATCACTAGAATTTTGTTTTAGCTATGTTTAATCTATCTAGGATCTGGTACCATTTGATGTAGATTGGTGACATAGTAAATTTTGTCTAGTTTTTGTAGGTAGTTTATTTGTTTTTAGAAAACAATTAATGCAGTTTAGCGTTGAGTATTTTGACTTTCTAAGAAGAAATTGTAGGGTAGTTATAGACCATAAGAGTTTGAACTGAACTAAAAGAGCAACAAAGCAAGCCTGAGGTTGAATTATACTTGCACGTTTTGATGAAATTCCTATGGTCTATATACCCTTCCTTTTTTTTTTAGCTTTAATAATAAAATAATAAACTTTTGGCAAATGAGGAGATAGATTGATAAGCATCTCCACTGCTTATGGTTATTTAGAACTCCTCATCCCCAGAACTTCGTTTTAGCTATGTTTAATCTATCTAGGATCTGGTACCATTTGATGTAGATTGGTGACATAGTAAATTTTGTCTAGTTTTTGTAGGTAGTTTATTTGTTTTTAGAAAACAATTAATGCAGTTTAGCGTTGAGTATTTTGACTTTCTAAGAAGAAATTGTAGGGTAGTTATAGACCATAAGAGTTTGAACTGAACTAAAAGAGCAACAAAGCAAGCCCGAGGTTGAATTATCCTTGCACGTTTTGGTGAAATTCCTATGGTCTATATACCCTTCCTTTTTTTTTTAGCTTTAATAATATAATAATAAACTTTTGGCAAATGGGGAGATTGATTGATAAGCATCTCCACTGCTTATGGTTATTTAGATTTCACATCTAGTTACTATGTTGTATCTCTTGTCATATTAAAAGGTTCTCCATTGCTAAGATTTTGTTTGTTATGTTTTCCCAACTGTGTTTTTTATGTGCAATATTTTTCTAGGAGTGTCAGTTTAAAATTGTTTTTCAGTTGTTCTTTTAAGATTGTTTGTATTTAGGATTTAGGTAAGGATATGTGGAGGGAAAATGGAAAAAGTAAATGAATATAAGCTAATTTTTGTTCTCCTTTTTCTTTGCATTTTTCTTTTTGTTTGGAAATCCATTATGGAAATACAATCTAATTTCTTTTAGTTGTTTGTCATACAAAATATTTCCACAAATTACTTTAAGTTGTTTGTCAACAGTTTTTTTATTTTCTATTTTTTTTTGGTGTTAGCTAATTACTCTATTGTCAGGCTTTTCAAATAGTCATGATTGTTTTTTTTTTCTTTAGTAATCATTTTTGGGTCATTATCTACCTTTTAAACTTCAGCATAATATAGTGTATATGAAATTAGAGAAAATTATGAGTATGGATTGAATAATATGAAATTGAATAGATTTTATCGTAGAGATAATTGTTAATTATTACCTTAGTTGTGATTGCACTCGTTGTTTGCAAAAGTTGCAAAGAAAGAAATCTTCTGGTTCTGCAGCGGTGCTTTTGTTGCAGTTTGGGCAGCATGCATAGCAGAATTTTTGGTTTATATTCGTGACAGTAGCACAAGAATTGACCTAATATCTTGTAGTCTAGGAAGTTAAGTTGAAAATTGTAATTAATATGAATTTTAAATTAGGAATTATCATCGTAACGTAAAAAAATGAACTCTTAAATTGTATTCAAATTAGGAATTTTTATTAGAGTATTGTTATTGTTTTTCATGAATTTTAATTTCTAACTTGAATATAATTAGGGTTATTGTAAGGTAAAAAATGAATTCAATTTGATTGGTTGCTAATTGTTACTATTGTTATGAGTTTGATGAAATTACTATAATATGAAATATACCTGTCTAACAAATGTTGGAAGATTTTTGTGTTGAATTAGCTTGTCTGGAGTTGGTGGTGGAGACTGTGTTGTTGCGATTCGTTGGACTCTCTGAAGAGGAATTTCTTTGATGGTATTGCTATGGTTGATGCACTTGAATATCATAATTGTAAATTAAATATACGTAAAACTGAATATTATATTTAACCAAAATACAAAGAGTTCAATATTGTAAAATATTTTATTATAGTAGTAATTACCAAGTTTTCAGTGAATTTGCTTCAGGAATTGGAAAGTCCAATATAAAAGTTGTGAATGATTTTGTTGATAGTGTGACACCTATAAAATTGATTGTTAGGAGTTTGATAGTAGTATAATAATTATAAAAGTAAGAAATGTTGAAGAATATAGAAATTACCATTGTATGAGGACACCTTTAATCACATAGCAATTATGATTGGGAAAGGAGTTGGGAGTTTCAAAAAAGCTACACCTTCATTTTTTGTGAATTCACCCCAAAGCGTTAGAGTTGTCGGCTTCAATCTGGGAAAATGGAATTGTTAGATACAACAAGTTATTTGGTGAATACATAAACATTTAGCATTTGTCTACATAAGTAAGGATTTCAAATGGAGACATTTGAAGTTAAAATGATAGGAAAAAATTTGGAAGAAGACACAACTTATTGATCATCAATAACAATGATTTCTTGCAATGGAGTCTCCTCATCTTTGTGGTCTTTGAAATTTTTCTTCATCTGTATTGGTCCAATCTCTAGTATTGCTAGCAAGACATCTAAATTAAAAAATATATATAATTTAATTGTCAATAAAATTGTATTGTAATGTATTCAATCATTGAAGAAAATGAATATAAATAAAATTTACTTATATCTTTTGGTCGTGTTGATGATTGCATATCTGTTATTGTTTCTGAGTGGACATTCGCTGATGTTGTTGAATCGATATTGTCCTCAAGTGCAGTTAGAGCAGTAAATTTGAAGTTCAAACTTCGTATAGTTAATTGATCATCTTTGATTTTTTCTATGGGAGTTCGTCCATGAATTGTCCATTGGTATTCATTTTCAACAATTTGATGTTGTTCTAGAATAGATCTGACTTGTACATTTGATATTGCATAAGATGAAAAGATTTCATGTGTTATTTGAAGAACCTCTATGTCTGCACCAAAGATTGTTGCTTGTACTTTTGATCCCTACAATGTTTGAGTTTAATATGAATATATAATTTTAGAATTAGTAAGAAATAATTAATATGTAGTTATTGAAGACTCTAAATCATATTTGAATTGGAAAAAATAAATAAAATATAGACTGTTTATTAAGTTTAAAAAAAAAAGAAAAAGTAGAAGTGCAAGAAATAGAAGAGATATGATGGCAAAAAAAAATACAAAAGAAGAATAGAAAAATCCAAAGGGAATGTAACTATTTGATATTTTATATTTGCAATAGAGATTTTTTGCAAACATACCTTTGCATCAATTAACATCAGCTTTTGAGATAGTATTCCACTTGATCCAGTTCTTGGAAAGGATTTTTCAATAACCATCATATTTGATGTCCATCATTTTGTAGATGGATTGATATCTTTGATAGCTAACAATTGATTGCGCATGATTTCCTACATGCATAAAACATATATAGTTGGAGTAATAAATAAGAAGAAAAATAATGTCAAATGAATAACATAAATATAATGTAGAAATTGCTAATATATGAATTAGACATACCAAAAAACACGCAAACGAAAAAAATCAATTGCATTGAGCTAAAGATAGAATCTTATAGTAGACAATGTTTTTTGTGGCATCGGGGAATTTATTGTTTGAATCTGATACATCTGTTAAAACTTTGACTTTGGTGGAAGTTGTAGCTCGAGATAATGCAACATACAATTAGCCATGTAAGAAAACTGGTTGTGGTAAATAGATGCCAACAGTATCTAGAGTTTGACCTTGAGCTTTATTAATTGTCATTGCAAAACATAGCCTGATTGGGAATTGACATCTGGTAAAATCAACTAGACACAATTTTTTATCTAATGGTTGCAAAGGTATTCGAGGTAAAAATATGAGATCTCCTTTTTGATCACCAATAGCAATTTGAGCGAGAATAACATGTTTTTCAAATTTACGACAAATGAGTCTTGTTCCATTACATAATCCCTTGGAAGGATTTATGTTGCGAAGCATAACAATGGGGCAATTTTCTTTAAGCAAAAATTTGTGCGGTGGTAATCCTAGAGCAGATAAAGAGTTCATAAAATCTTCATATTGGCTTTGCTGACTTTTATCAACAGTCTCATCAATGCTGTTATACATGTGTTCATCTCTAGGGAATTCTTCCATCAATATTTCATTGATGTGATCTACATTGTCATTTTTTGGAGTCAAGATAGTTCGATTCATCATTGAAAGTGGATCTTCATTATAATCATTGAAATTTGGGAAGACAAAAGTGATAAGCTCTTGAAGTGGATCAGTGTTTTTATTGTAAGGAAAAAGAATTACTTTAGGGATTCTGATTCTTTCAGAAGATATCTGTTGTTTTGTACCATTTCCTACAGAAAGCAAAAAATTACTAAATACCGGATCATGCTTAGCTCGCATATTTTCTGTCAATTTGATCTTTTCTAATGAATGCCAAATGTAAGACATAACAAGCGTAACATTAATGCATTCATTTCTTGTGCTCTTTGGCACAACAGGTAACACTTGACGAAAGTCACCACCGAATACTACAACCTTTCCTTCAAATAGAAGATTGCTATCCATGACATCTTTTAACAATTCATCAAGTGCTTCAATACTTTGTCATCTTGCATCGATGCTTCATCCCATATTATAAGTGCAACAACTTTCAAAAGTTTTGTTAGGCCACTCTGTCTGCTGACATTACAACAAATTTTGCTTTCAACATCTATAGGAATTTTGAACCGTGAGTGCGTAGTGCATCCATTAGGCAAAAGTGATGCAGCAACTCTTGAAGTTGTAGTTACGAGAGTGATCAATTTGTGCGTTCTTGTTGTAGCTAAGATTGCTCGATATAGAAAGGTTTTCCCAATTCCACCAGGTCCATCAATAAAGAAATATCCTGGATTTCCATAAAGTACTGCATTAACAATTTTAGAATATGCAAGTTGTTGTTTTGTGTTTAACAACGACACAGACATCAAATCAACCTCAGACACTAATATATTGCGCTCATCTTCTATATCTTTGCAACAATCATCAGTTTCATCAGAAGGGATTGATAGATCTGAAAGATAAAATTGTTTAATGTTCTTGCCCATGGATTCAAGAGTAGAATTTATATTTTGCAAAACTCTAGAACGAATTTGTTCTGTAGATAATTGTCCTTCTCTACAAAGATCCTCCGACATTGTTCTTTCAAATTTTAAGAATAAAGCTTTTTGATCATGTGGACTACAATACACAAGTATTGTTGCGAACAATTTTTGTAATGAAGAAGGTATTGAAAAATACTTGCTTCTTCTAAGCACTTTTCATGACTTTCATCATCCTCTAATAAACCATATTGAAGAGCAACTTCTCTGAAAGAGTTGTATGTTACTTCTTTAATAGTTCTCAATTGGCAGAATGAAGTTGGGCACTGTACATGATTCAATAATAATCGCAAATAGTATCGCTTGCCTTCTTTTGGATTTGCAGTGATTATTCTTCCAATCACCTCCCTTTGCTTTCTTTCATTCCACAATCTATGTTGGGCATACCAAACAAAGAATTCAGAAAATTCCTTGTATAAATATTTTCCTTCTTGAGCTTTTTTGTTTGTTCTATACATCACAAAAAACTCAGTCAACATTGCTCTTGAAAGAAATTCATTGTTAGTTAAAGAGCACAAGTTATCTGTCTTTCGAAAGCTAACAATTTGGCAATCTTCAAGGTGTAGTTGCAAGCTTATCACAGCAGGATTAATTTGATTCAAAGGGAATTTCTATATTCTTCACATTGCTTCTGGAGGAGATATCCATCTTGCAGATTGAAACATTATGATCTCATCAATATCTTTATTACTGTGTTGGCCTACTATGTGGAATGCTATTTTGTCATGACCCTTGTATATGTATTTATACAAGTATTTGACAGCCTTAATAGTAGAGCAAATTTCCACATTAATGTGACAATCAAACTTTGCAAGAATATATGGGTCATAGGGAACAACCCATTTATTGTCCAACATGTGCCCTCGAACTTTAACGGTTTCATTATTGTTGCGCCGCCTATAGTTAAGGTATCCATCAGCTTTCATGGTTGTCATTGAAACAAAATCTCTAGGATAATAGTTCTTACACATGCCATTTTTCATACAAATATTATTAGAATTCAAAGAACCACAAGGACCATGCATCATGTGTTTGACAACCATTGAGTACAAGTGTGGAAAATTTTCTTTGTTAGGCAACTCGGCAGATATGAAATCATCAAATTTTTCTGGAGAATCTAGCTTATGACTTCGCTGAAGAATAAGAAGTAAATGAACATGAGGAAGGCCCCGCTTCTGAAATTCGATTACATATGTGAAAGCTGCAACTGGACCAAATAGTTTTTTTCTTATAACTTCATTTTTCAAGTGTTTAAATTTGCTTCTAAATATTCGGACAAGAAGATCAAGTCTATTTTTTGGCTCTTCATGTGGTAACAATTCTTCTTTGATTTCACTCCAACTTGGATTGCAAGTCATGGTTAAAAAGATATCAGGTTTTCAAAATCGTTGCACTAAAGCCATGGTATCAATATAGCGCTTCCAAAGGTCTCTTGGACCACCTATAAATGAGCTTGGTAAAATAATTCTTCGACCAATATTGGAAGCTTTAGATTCTCCTGCTGTGATACTATCAACAATTCCTTGATATAAATCTATTCTTATTTCTTTCTAATTTACTCTAAAGTAATCTAACCTTGAAGATTCTACCGTAACATACATGTCAACAACAAATTGTTGTAGAAGTCAACCTGCTCGAAGTAAAATTGAATTATCGCTCTCCCTAATTTGAAACTTGAAACAATAAAACTAACGAATTAAAACCATGTTTCTCTTCTTTAAATTCTCTTCAAAAACTAAAATAAATAACATAAATAGTTTAGGGTTCTTGTTGCACTATAAGTTGTGAGTAGGGTATTCTTTTTTCTTTATTATTTTTACCTTGAGCTTCTGTTCATAATAAATCATCAGCATTGGAAGCTTCTGTTGCCAACACAGAAAATTGACCATCTGAAAATTTGTTTTTGTTTTTTTTTTGTTTTTTTCTTTATTCCTTGGTGCCATCTAGGTTCACCAAGAGGAAATAGCAATGGATATTGTAGTGGGTCATAGCATCCATAATAATACCGAATTCTTTCAGAATGACCTTGATATTTTTGGACTATGATATCGTGCTCTTTATACTCAACAACTTCATCATTCTCATGCCATATTGCAGCAACTTAGGATGCAGTAGGAGAATTAAAAGTTTCGGGATTTAAAGATGGATCAGCGCGGATAAGTATATGATGAGTGTCTAGGTTAGAAACATCTCTTAAACTTCTAAATAATATAGAATATGGATTTGAAGCGACAATATCAATTAGAAGAGCAATGATGTTCAAGTCTAGATTGTCTGCAATTCTCATCCTATTCTAAAAACTTCATGTTCAGTGTCAAAGAAATAGAGCTGCAAGTAAGAAGGTTTATGATCTGAAGGATAAAGCTGATTGATATAATGATAAACCTGTCCTTGCACACAAAAAGAATAGTTCCTCTATTTCTACGCTCTAATTGTTTGTCAGCGGTAACCCCGAATGAAGTGAAAGCAAATGAATTATTATAGGCACGAATGTACTTCAAGAAATGAAGAGAATTTTTGGAATGACCTATGAACAACTCATACAATTGAGATGAACAACATTGGGACATAGTGCAATTTCCCCAGTAGAACAACAAATACCATCTGGCTCGAGATCTATTCTTTTTGCATTACAGAAAGAACAACATGATCTATTTGGTAAAACAAAGGCTTCAACTGGTATATCTCTTTTTGTGATTGCTTTCTTCTTTCTACAGCGTAGAACAAAGCCTATGGAGAGTATAAATAGAATTTAAGAATTATTTTCTATCTAGTTGGGTGTATAATTAAAAAAATAATAAGAGAAGGTGTTTAAGTACCATCTTCAATGTTAGTAGTTGTGTTATTCTGGAAATCAAGTGTGCTGGATGTTGAACCTAAGGATTACGGGAAAAAAATGTGTAATTATACATAAGTAATAGAAAAAGGAAAGAATGAAATTGGTTGTTATCTAATAAGAAGAAACAATTTTTTTTTTCTTCTAATAGAGACTATAAAGAAATTATATCTATTTCAAAGGTGTTATGATTGATGGTTGCTTCTTCAAGATTAAATTGGGAAGGTTTTGAAAAAACTGATGTAAGAACAGGATGTTCAGATATTCCCAATGGTTCATATTCAAATAAACTGCTTGATTCAATGATGCGGCGTATTTTGTTGGTCGATCTTTTTGTTTTTCTGCTCTTAATTCTCGCCTCCTTTGATTGATTCGATTTTTTCGTTCTTGTGAAAAATTTGCATATGACACTACTTTTTTTGGCTTTTCTGGCATGATTGAAACACTATACTGTATTAAACAACAATATATACCGTAACAAATTGATAAATAAACATTAAACCGCAATTGTCATTTTGATAATGATTTTATTAACATTGTAATTCTAATATAGCATGTACACAAAACAAGAAAACAAACCATACAAGGACATTTTACAATTACAACAAATTACAAAAATTAGACTTAGATCATAATTAAGATTAAAAATAAATTTCCAGGGAATAATAAATTATACAAATTAATACAATTAATACAGTTAAAGATTATAAAAACTGAAAGTGTAATTAATAATAAATTTCCATGGAATTTATATTACATATTTGCGTAAATTGCAATTAATAATGTGATTATGATTTTTAACAGAATTTTATTCATTGAATTGGTTGAAATTAATTAATTATATAGCGATCCCGGTTATCCCTTTACTATTCTGTTGTTTTCCGGACGCGGTTCCGTGGAGTTGGTAGTTGTACCTATCGTGTTGTCAACCATTAAACTCTTTAGATTGAGTTTTAGAATGTGTTGGGCTCGGTTGTTTCAGGTTGGTAGAGCCTTAGCTCCCATTGTTGTTGTCCAGTTTTTGAACGGTCTGCTCGAGCGGGTCTTCTTGCGCTCGAGCGGGGTTTTCACAGTTTCAGTATTTCGTGCCTCTGCAAAACTTCTGCAGATGTGTTTTCTACGCTCGAGCTGGTTTCTTGTGCTCGAGCGGGTCGCGCTCAAGCGTACTTGTTAGCGCTCGAGCGGGTGGTACTTTTTGGTGTAAGTTCTGGGAGGGAGCTTTCCTTGCCACCATAAACGGTATGGTCATCTTCGTAAGCCATCAGATATATAGTAGATGTGTAAAAATGGCCCGAGACCCATGGGCGGCCAGAAACCCGCCCGAGGCCTAAGGTGGGGCCGGCCTAACCCAGTACGTTAGGCCTAGGCTTTCCATTTGTGGTCCGACCAGGCCCAAAAAATTTCGGGCCTTGCATGCAGCCGAGCCCGGCCCGCCCATCCGACCCTCTCTTTACCAATGGTCAAATTTCGAGAAATAAAAATAAAAAACAACTTGCAACAGTTAAATAATTAAAAAAAATAAAAAGATTGATCTTATAAAAATAAAAACATAAAAAAATTAAATAAAAATTAATATAATTAAATAAATAACATTAATAATTTAAAAATAAAACAAAAATTAATAATAATTTATTAAATTAAAATTAAATTATGAATTATTTAATGGAAAATGATGATATGATGTATCACTATGTGCACAGTAGCACAGTCTATCTGTGTGTGTGGCTGGAAAAGTGGGAAAGTGCACATAATAATATATATGGGAAAGTACACCTAAGGTCCTAAACTCACGTGAAAGAGAGAAAAAAAAAATATATATATATATATACTAAGTTGGAAGGTAATACTGGGCCCGTGGGGGCTCACCATGAGTCCCATTTTGATAATTCGAACTGTTCAATGTATAGATCTCTTCCATTACTATATGCCTGTAAAAAATCACGTTAATTGGATATCGCTAACTACATGATCAAATCAATTTGGTATAAAAATGCATGGTGTTATAGTTAATGGTTGACAAAAAAAACTAATCTGATCAGATAGTTATAGATATCCGATCAATGTGATTTTATATAAACTTATAATACTCGACGAGTTGTACACATTGAACGATTTCGATTAGCAAAACGGGACCCGTGATGGCTCCCACTGGCCATAGAGCACCGTCCAAATGGTTGCCCGAAAAGGAGGCAATAATTTCCTAAAACTTTGCCATGCCACCGCACAACCCCTACCTATTATTATAGTACTAGCCTAGCCTCAATTTTGAGCCGTTGCATTGCAATTTTGCATCTCCTACAACTCAAACGGATATATATAAAACGGTCATAATTCAAACGGTTAGAATTTAAACTAGTATAAATATATTTTAGTTTTCAAAATATATTTTACAACAAATCATTCTCTCTCTCTCTTAAACTCTCTCAATTTCTCTCAACTCTCAATTAATTTTGAAATGCCATCCCTAAGTGGCTATTGCAATTGTGCAACAAGAAACTTTTAGGAGAAAAAGAAAATTTCTATATCGTATTCGCCAGTCGGTAACATTAATTAGTTTAATTAAATTTATTAACTACTCATTTTTTTCATTAATTATTTATGCACATATGTTTTTTTTTTTACTGATTAAATTTACACATTATTTAAATTAATTTTTAATTCTTATATATTGTTTTACTTGCATTACTATGGATCCTAATATGCCTAATGTTTATGTCGATGTTGATACATATACTGCACCACATGAATCTGTTGATTCTCCTTCTAATATCCCTCTTCTAATAGTTGGATCATCATCTAGGAGCAGAAGTAGTAGTGTTTGGGAACATTTTGAAAAAATATCTATAAATAATCCTGATGGCACAATTACATTTAAAGCAAAATATAAATATTGTGCACGTTTACTTAGTGCTGCATCTGCAGGGGGTACTAGTCATTTAAAAAAGCATTCTGACAAACATGTACAAAGTAAACAACCTGATATTCGAAGTCAAATGCAATTAGGGGGCTTCGTCAACTGGTAATTTGCAAACATTTTCATATGATCCTATACGTGCACAAAATTCTATAGTTGATTACATTATTAAAAAAGAATAACTTTTTAGTACTAGTAAATGTACTGATTTTACCGAAACGATTCACGAAAGTTTGCACTGCAATATCAAAGTTTTTCTAAAAATACTACTAGAAACATGATTTTAAAGAAATTTGAAGATATTAAAAGTGAATTATTTGATATTTTTAAAAATTTGAATGGAAGAGTTTGTTTAACATATGATCTGTGGTCAAATAATGATTTTGAATATCAATGTATCACTGCACATTTTATTGGTAATGATTGGAAATTAAATAAAAGAATTATTTTATTTAAATTAGTTGAACTTCCATACACTGCTCATTCGCTTGGTATACAAATAAGAAATGCATTATATGAGTGGGCTTTACAAAATAAAATATTTACGATTAGTTTAGATAATGCATCATATTATAATCAAACTGTAGCCCATTTAAAATCAACTTTAC